ATGTCAGCTCCAAATGAGGCAACGCTGTTACTGCTTCTGGCTCTGGGTCTGCAGGCAACTCACGCCGGCGCCGCTTCGGAACTCTGTTGTCCACAGCAGGAGCAGCACCAGTGCCATGAGCTCCCATGATTAGCATCATGGGAAGCAAGGGCACACAACCCATGCTCGGGAGATGCCCATTGCCATGACGCTCAAGCATGACTTTGATCTGCAACTAAACTTGAGCACTGGTCCTCATGCATCAGGCTGGATCACTTGCGCAAGAAAAATGAAACATGAGAAACATGTAATGTTGCACAGCATGTGACAGCCAAGCAGGCAAGCACACAAACATGTCGGCGCATCCAGCATTGTTCTTCGAATGTTTTTTCTGGCAAGCGCATCCCAAACTGTTTGGCGCAGCGTTGAAGCAAGTGACACAGCATTACCACAAAACAAATGAAGCCATGTACAATTGACACATGTTGAACTCAGTCACTTGTAAACTTTGGGTTCATCCATACCCTCGATGATAGGACCAAGGGTATCCAGGACAGTTTGTGGAATTTCTCCAGGGTCTTGATGGTGGCCACGTCCTGCATCTGGGGAAGCAAGCCAATGTCGCCACATCCAGCGATGAGTCTCAACCAGCGCATTTTTCCAAAGGGTGGCTTTGTTCGCAGCGAAGCTCCTCGAGAAGCTCTTGGCCGCAATGCGGCGTTGCTCTGCCTCTGATGTAACTTCAGCCTTAAACCTATGATCGTTGTAGGATAGTCTTAATTTGTAGCATGTGGGCGGGGCCAGCTCTGCCAAAATCCCTGGAGTTGCGTGGATATTGGGCCCTCGGCTTGCAACAACCACTCTAGGCGCCAAAGCAGGTCTGCTGCCACTGCTGGCAGCAGCAGCACCTTGAGGCTCCTCAACGTGAGCTGCGGCTGACGGCTCCTCAAAAGGAGGAGCTGCAGCAGCGGCTGCCGGCTGGCCTTCAACAACAGCAGCTGCAAAGGCTGCCTCAGCACCTGCAGCAGCATCTGAAGCCTGCTCTTCAACAGGAGCACCGGCAGAAAGTGCAGGAACCACAACATCGTTTGCAGGTGCCGGCATGGCAACGTCATTTGCAGGAGCAACAGCCGACTCAGCATCAGCTTGGGCAGCAGGAACTTCAGGACCTGCGTCGGGACCTCCCGAGGGTTCCTCCTCAACCTCTGCTTGATCTCCCATGATTGCTTCAGCCTTTCGTTTCCGGCCTCGTCCTGCACCCTGGCCCTTTCCTCTTCCTTGCCCATTTCCTTTCCTGGCTCCTTTGCCAGCGGCTGCTGCTTTGGCCTTTGCAGCTGCTCTCCTGGCTTTCCGCTCCTTAGGACACAAACAGTCAATTCAGCAAACAGTTGATTTTACACAGCAAGGGCTGCAAGCTGCCAAGGCTCATTCTGTTCTGATTTTTTTTCTGCCAGGATCTGACTCCAGCGTTTCTGGGTTTCTGCTTTCTTGGCTTTCTCGATGCTCTTGCCGAGGTTGTCGAAATTCTGCTTTTCATCAGGGTCAAGGTTCTCAAGGATGCATGCCAAAAATTCTTTACTGGCGTTGAAATCATGAGCGATCTCTTTCACGTTTGCCTCAGTGTCCAGAATTTCTTCCACAAAGTCGGTGCCAAAGCGAACACATAGCTGCCTCAGCAGCTCTTTTCGGGCAAGCTTGTTTGGGCGCTGAATGTCCCCAAAATAATTTGTCATTGCTAGCAGCTCGTTGAAGGTCAACTGGGCAAAGTAGCGACGGGTGTTTTGGGGAAGGTCTTCTTCATCTGCTCGGCATGCTCGGAGATACAAGCCAATGTCGTCACACCACTTTTGGTCAACTGACCACGCAACCCAGGACTGCGGGGAGTGCAGAAATTTCCAGCAAGCTTGGGCGTTCCCTCCAGCCTCGATCTGCCAGCCACGGAACCTAGGCCCAAAGTTGTGCACCGTCAGGGCTTTGAGCGGCCAGGTCATCACAGCGTACTTGTATGTGCCGAGGATCAAGAAGGCCTCCTCAGAGTCCCTCTCCGCAATCACCTGTCCACAGCGACCAAACATGGCCAAGAGCCCATCCTGCATGCAACACAAATGATCCAAATAACAAATGTAGTACACAAGTGACATGACAAATGTGGTATGGGCAAGCTTTACACAACAGAACATCCAGAAGACAACCCACCTGAAGCTTCACATTCTGATTGCCCAAGTTGTTGGCACAATAGTGGCGAAACCAAGCCCAGCCAGCGGCTGATGTGACCAAAGACTGTTCAGAAATAGTCTGCCAGGTTTTTTGCACAATGACCTTGGAGTAGTCAGCCGGAAGTTTGTGCTGCGAGGCCGGGAACTCTTTCTTGCCCCTGAAGGACGTTTTCGTCCGGTGCCACAAACTGACGAGCTTCTCTTTGGAAATGCTGGCTGGATGAGAGATGCCCCGCTCCTCCAAAACTTGTGCATCCTGCAGCACTTGCTGAACAGTTAGACCATTCAACTGCTTGTTGGCCTTCGAGCCAGTTGCATCCCGAAGCCGTTGGTGCGAATCTTCAACAACTTTGGAATCTGCAAAGTTGCGCAGCAAAACTCTTAGGAAACGAAGGCCAGCCTCGCACTGAGGCTGCCAGCCCGAGGCCTCGAAAACGCAGCACACAAAACGAACGCAACAGTCATGCGTCAGGCGAAGATCAGCCGCTAACGTCTCACCTGTTGCCACATCAGCGCTCTCCAGCTTCAGCAGGAGTTTGAAGTCACTTTGCAAACGCTGCAAACCTGCAGCTTGTTTGCCGACTTCCGGCGACAACAGCCGCGCGTACCACTCAGGAGGAGAACTGAGCTTGCTCAAGGATGCACAACGGCGGGCCATGACTTCGGTGGCATAGGAGAGGGCTCTTTTTGCAAATCCATCCGGATTGTCTGACCACTGCACAACTCCATGCCAAAGTTCTTGAGACATCATGATTTGTGAAATGCCACGTGGTGTCCAGTGCTTGTTCCACCCTTCTTCTAAGACTGATATTGTGTGCTGCAAGCCTTCATCGGGGGACTTCACAAAATGAAGCGTATCCGAGTAAAAGTCCCAGAGCGGTTGCTGAACATTCAGCACAATTGACAAATTCTCAAATGTCCTCCACGAGTGTGCCATGTAGGCAAGCTTCAGCCCACCAAGCCTGCTGAAGTCCAAATTTCGTTGCGCAACGTCGTCTGGGCCTTCCTCTGACTGGAGATACCATTCCAGAATCATTCTGCTTGCAGTGAATTCTTTCATTTGAGCAGCACCCTGTTCGTTGAGGGAAAACCAACGACCACTCTTGACCAATCCAAGTTTGTGAGCATAGGACTGAAGCTTCTCAGGGAGAGCATCCCACAGCTCCTCATCAGAAGCATCGCACATGTTGAACTCCCAGGCGATCCTGTGCTTGTACTTCTGAAAAGCCTCACAGTCCTTGGTCACACAGTCTACCGAGAGCAGTGGTGCAAATTGACAATTGACTGTCATAAACCACAGAAAAATTGCCACTTCTTCATTCAAGTCACTGGTCCATTGTTCTCCATGAAAGTTTCCAATGCTTCCTTTTTCTCGGCGAAAAAGGCACCACTATTGAAGGGCTTGTAATTAATTGACCAAATGAAAGCAGTAGTTGCAACAGAAGCTTCCAACTCACCAGTCAATGGGCCTTTAATGTCCCGGCGCAATCTGTGCACCCAATCATAAGAATAGTGCACCAAAAGGCCTTCGTGATGAGTGAACGCGTGGGCCGCACAGCCAACAGGCCCTTGATCCATCAGCACATGCAACATGGGAACCTCACCAACTGCTTGCGGACCAAAATCAAAGGAACACGTGACCTCACCATC